ATATATATGTATATATATATATATATATATATATACGCAGCATATATTTAGCCATTTAGCCAAAATAACCATGATAAAATAAACATGAAATGAAATAGTAAAAACTAGGTCTGTCAATTGATAAAAGAAAAATTAATTGCACAGACTTCTGCAAATAATTGCACATAGCGCTAAAATTTGAACATTGAAAGTCATTTTAATTTGCAAGTTAACTAGTTAGTTAACTACAAAAAAAAATCATAAAACGAAATAGTAAAAACTATAGGGCTATCAATTGATAAAAAATTAATAGCACATATTTCTGTAAATAATTGTGAATAATTGCACATAACATTAAAATTTGAAATCCTAAATATATTTTCACGTCTCCATATTAATGTATTTTATACAGTATTGGACAACCGATGCTAGTATAATTTTTTTCTCCAGTCTATATTTTTCAAGGTGGCTTGCCACAATTATTATTATTATTATTTTTTTTTTTTTACAAGAACTCAGTTCAACCTTTCAGTTATAATCTACCTTCATTATATCATTTATATCCCTTTTTTCCTTATATATAATATGCAGTGTGTACTATCAACTCAAAACTTAACAATTGCTGAGATATATGTGACAACTAGCCCGGTCTCTTCTACATATGAATTTTGCCATATGAAGGAGATGAGATTTAGGTGTGTCAATGTCTACACTGATCATAGTCTGTATATGACACTGCGTGATTTGTTCCACGTTACCCACTGTATATTGACAAGTATATATGTGTGTATATATATATAGAGTATGATTAACGTCCTGCATGTGTGTACAATAGCATATTCATTGGTCAACACTTGTAGCAACAGCACTCATGATGGTCAATCTGTTACAGTTCAGCACTCGACGGAGATGCACATGGTTGATGGGATGACTGTGGTGGGCGGACGACGGGGTTGAGAGAGCGTCTTACCTCTTTTTCTGATGTTTACAACCATTTCGAGAGGTTTTAAGGGCTGTTTTTCCAATATATATCTTTTTCATGGTTTTTCGCAGTAGACCACCTCTCATGAAGGTCTGTGTATAAATTCTCTGCTCCCTAACAGGGATTCCACTTATTCCTGCTTGAGTCTGCACGTTTCCCTTGCAGCCCTGACAGACCGCTGGAGATCCTGCCAACAGAGCAAAGAGAGTGGCGGGTGGCGCTTGCAATCATTTTACAACATAATAGCGACAGCAATTAAAACAGTCTCATCAAACTTGCGATTCATCTCGAAGCTTCATGCATGAATCTGTCACGGCGAGAATGAGCGTGCGGCAACAGGCTTAATTAACCTCTTTGGGCCGATGCCACTGTGCTGATGTTTCGGTGTGACTGGAGGTCCCTCACACAGGTGCGTTTGTGAGCGACGAGATGAATTAAGGTAGGAACGCGATGAGACAGCTTGTGAAAAACATTCACATGCAGAACCTTCGTGTGCGTAAAAGTTAATCTATAGAGTGCTGCAGCTCGGGGAATATTTATACCACACATTTATGGCACCTTTTCCACTAATAGGGTTCGAAACAAGGCCCAAAACTCTTCAAAAGTTTCAATAGAGGTGCTTAAACTTCAGAAAAGGATTGCCAGCCTCACTATATCTTATATGAGCTATTGAAAATGTATTTTAGATGAAGTCTGTCATTTTTGCTAAATTTGTTACCAAGATTTGGGACATGCTAAATGTGTTGTTTTCTTGAAAGAAGTCTCTTATGCGGAGCAAGCCTGTATTTATTTAATCGAAAATACAATAACAGAGTAATATCTCTTTCAGTGTTACATGATTGTTCAGAAATCATTCTAATATGCTGATTTGGTGCTCAACATTTCTTATGTTGAAAATATCGAGCACATTAGAATGGTTTCTGAAGGATCATGTGACAATGAAGACTGGAGTAATGATGCTGAAAATTCCGTTTTGCAACACAGGAATAAATTACATTTTAAATATATATTAAAACAGAAAACGGTTATTTTAAGCTGTCATAAAATAGCACAATTTCACTGTATTATTCTGTATTTCAGAGATTAAAGCTTGAATGCAGTTACAATTTGTTTGAGAACAGTGAATGAGATTGTTCACTTCCACCATGTATGGGTTCAAATGGTATCAATTCTTGTTTGTCATTATTAAAAGGACTCATCTTGCGATACATGTGTAACCGGTTCTACTTCGGGATTCGAACCGCGGTCTCCGGCATGGGAGGCGGGCGCTCTAACAAGGAGGCTAAACACTGAACCTCACTCCCATCCGGGTCACGGCACCAAAAGTAACCGGTTCTACTTCGCCTCACTCCGAGCGGGATTCGTACCGCAGTCTCCGGCGTGGGAAGCGGGCGCTCTAACAAGGAGGCTAAAGGCCATGGTCTTTATGATGGTGAGGTTTACACCCACAGCTCTTACGGCAGTTACACATGGCAAAATATGACATTTTTTGGACAATTAAAATGAGACATTTTTGCTAAAATGAATTACATATTAACAGAATATGTGAAGATTATTGCATTGTTGTATCATTTTGATCATTTTTTGTCGTTTTAATTTTAAAGGGTGGCACCTCTACTCTAAAAGTGGTGGGGGGAAATGTTTTTGGGATGTATAATGAGGATTATGATTTTGTGATTCCAAACAATTTACAACCAGGTTACAGTATACATTACCATTTAACATGTACTACATTCTAAATTAGGTATCATTAATCTTTTTCACATATTTGTTCATCTTGATTAACATCCATTTTTAAATATACAAGAATTTCTGTGTAATTATGTGGCGTGTTTTAATCTCACATACAGTATCTATTAGTTGGTGTTATTTTAGTATCATTGATATACTATTATAGTTTTTGTTACTATTTGAATTAGATTTTATTTTTAGATTTTCAGTTTTTTTATTTTCATTTTAACATTTTAGTAAGTTTTATATGTTGTGTATTTTGTAATTTTTATTGTAATTTTTTTGTATTGTTTTATTTATTTGCTTAAATGTCTATATAGTTTTTATTAAGTTTTAGTTTTTTTTTAATTTACTTTAATTTAAACTAAATAAAAATGAAAAAAGTTGCCTTGACAGCTAGCTGAACTAAAATATTTTATAATGTTAATTTAAATTAAATAATTTTTTATGGTTTTAGTTTTAGATAATGATAATAACCCTGTGAATAGTTAAGAGAGTTAGTAGATAATCCAACATATCTAATACTTTGCAGAATAAAAACACACACACACAGACACACACACACACACACACTATTTATGCCTCCAATGCTTTATAAATGTAATAATGGGATTTATTAAACCCTTTTCAAGGAAAGTGCTTTGTGTGTTTTTTTTTACTTCTGTTTTTATTTTTGAATAAATAATTGCACTGAAAGACATCATTTTTCCTGTATTCCTGTTGCCTATTTCCATCCAGTCTTATCAGGTGAGGATGGAGAGATATTTGTGACAATTGATTATGCGTTTCTCTTTGATTTCCCCCGCCTCTGACTCATCGCACACTCATTTTTTTTTCTCTCCCATCTGAATCACCGCAGGGTGTCAATATAACGCATCTCCCTAAATCCTCACCCACGAACATTTACCACATCACAAGGGGCAAGTATACTCCCACAGCAGGCCATGGAAGTCAATGCGGCTTATATCACGGGGGGCTGCAGCCGCTGCATTGGCTGCATTTGATCTTTCGGAAAGAGCAGCTGACATTTTAGAGGCACGAGGGAGGGAATGAAAGACAAGTGGAGCTGGAAGATTAGAGGGGCAGGAGTGAGATGGAAGAAAGGAATGAGCGACAGAAAAACGAGAGGTGTGAAACGGCCTCGCATCTCACCTCCACTTTGTATTCAGCCCCCTCAATGCAGACACACACATAGCTGCACTGACATACATCCCATGATGCACCACACATATCCTCATGGACCTACATACACATCGCAAAGTCTGTGGATCAACCAAACAACATGGAATCAAAATGGAAAACTATCCCAATTGCGTTCCGGGTCAAAATCCAGTCAAAAGGGGGGATTGGGGGTCGCTTCAACCCACAGACTAAAAATAAAACA